ACCGGTATTGTCACCATACATGGACAATACCGGTCATGAGTGTGGGTAATGCCAGTCAATTTGTTTGTGTTATTATTAAAATAAAAATCAACATCTATTTAACATTTTTTTGTTATAAAACGATTAACGAATGTGGCTTATTAATGGGTCATAATTCAAGTAAATCAGTAAGAAACGTGAAAAAATATTTTTTATTACAAAACAAACAAAAAATAACAAAAATATGTGTTTTAATGTAAAAATAGTTGACAGTCGTCGCAGGTATAACTCTCTGCAGAATCCCATCCACTGCACTCGGAATAAGCCCATCGTGAGCAAACGGTAAATATATACCACAATTCATTGTTTTTGCCAAACTCTCTGTAAACCAGGCATCTATCTTCGTATGCATCGTCACTGTTATCACATGATATATTAATATCCGATTCCAAAGAACTAGAATCAAACACCTTTTTCTTGTAATGCCGATTTCTATTTTTTATTCTTTCTTGCAATGTCGAAAAATGGATGGATTAATCCCCAAGGATTAATAGTATAGGGTATAAATTATAGCATGGGGGTAATACCGGTCAACTGACCGGCATTGCCTTCTGTTAGCATTTTTTTTCTTAGAATTTTTTACTCGTAAACATGTATTAAAATATTGATCTTTAAAAAAGGAATAGGCAGCTAACGTCATTATAATTAATTGTAACCAATTTTAAGATCTACAAGTGAATAAAAATGAATTAAGACCTTATATTACTCAGCATAAAAATAAGATCGAAAACACTGAAAACAGGTTAATAATATTTCTATGACAATGGTTTGCGCCAACTCAACGCTCGTCAGCAATCTGAATACAGAGTAGTGTAGCGACACGTTGGCAGTTATAGGAGGTTGCCAGATTGAATAGATTTCGCACAATCGGGATGACCGCCATTACCCACTGACCGGTATTTGCACAGTTTACCCTAATATTTGATTCATCTAATACCTTGTTCCAAGGAATTAAGGCTAAATATTCATTTAAAACTTGATAATTACAATGATGAAAACTAGATGAAAGCTCATTAAAATAAGATGGTACCTACTCCCAATCTGCGATGTGGTTAGTAATAACATCAACCCCGATTCATATATCCATCATATGTGATGCGTCCAGAACGGAGTGAATAATTGAAAGAGTCAGCTTTCTGAAACTGTCCCCGAAATGTATAGCTCAGAATAGAAATATCACTTTACTTACAACTATCAAAGGTGTAAAAACAGCTATTACTGGTTACCTAAAAGCACCCTCGCCCCACCTCTGTAATAGTCCAGAGACCCAGTCGTACGCAAATTAAAATCCCAAGTGGTCGAATAAACATACAAGGGGAAGAACTCAGTCATATTTTCATAGACGAAGAGACTTTAGTAGAAGAATTAAAATAAAAAATATACTGAATATGTTCTGATCTTGTTTCTAAAACATTTTTTTTACATTTCTCTGTCGAGGGCCCCTTATCAATCCCGATGTCCCACCAAGGCTTACTCCAGCGCTGTTTGTAGCTGAAATATATTTTCGTTAAAATCTCCTTAAATTCATTTGCATAGCATCTTTATCAAACAAGATACAATTCATCAAAAAAATGTTCCGCTATCTGGAATCATATCCGTTGATAAGGAAGAGTACAGATCAAAGATTTCTGAAACAACAGAATGTTATTGACCAAGTAATAGGTACAAAACTTAGTTCGTAATTCAACAATACTTTTATTATATTCCCTTCATCAATTATCTAGGACACACATAAAATGACTAACAACTAATATTATCTAATCTGGTAATTAAAAACAAGACCCACGCTCGCATATACTCTTATCTCTAAGTTACGCAAATAAAGGAAACTTAATTAATTATACATGTTGACTTGACCTTTTAAAATTCAGATTTGACAGATAATTTTTACGTTACTTGATAATTTACATCAAATATAGAATAATATTCATGATGTCACTTATAAAATATTCTCAACAATCATAAAAGCAGACTGGAAATTTATATAGACAATTTGGCGTATGCCAGAAAAGATAAACTGACATTTTCAAGCTAAAACAAAATTTTGTAGTAGGGTGTGATATTCTGAAATATATTCTTTCATTTGTTCATTGGTACCCTCAAATATTTAAAAGTTTCTACTTCTTCGAAGATTTATCTTTTTCTTATGGTACCATCTCCCGGCGGGGGTTAGCAATAATTACAGCTATTCCAACCTGCTTAACTATTAACTTAGGCTGGCTTCTATACACCATGTAGCTTCGCCTATTTTCAAGATTTTAAAGTGTTTGTCTTTGTGTAGTGTATGTTCCATTTTATATTTTAAAAGTAAATATTTAAAAAAATCATATGCTACACCTCAGTTCAACCCTGTTTGGCTTTCACGTACGTTTGTTGACAGTTGGAATTTGTACAATGAATGTAGTTTATCAAGTAATTTTACAAATACTGTGTGAATTTCATCTGGTGTATCCGATCTTTATCTATTCCTCCTATCGTTTACATTTTTCTGGTAGATCCAATATAAGTTTAACATCCTGGTCTGTTATAAGTCATCGTTGTTTTTTTTCTGACATCGGTAAATTCTTTGACTTTTTTTATATTCATTTCCTCGATTTCCGAACCGTACAATTTTCTGTTGTCTCTTTTTTGTGTTATTGTTTTTCTCTTGTGCCGCCTGTAGGAACAAATTTGGATTCAATACTCAACAAAATATACTTCAAACAATATTTATTTTACACAATTCCTTATACATTTTAAAAAATAATATAATACATAGATATTTACCATCTGAGCAGCAGTCAAATTAACACAAGTAGAAAAATCTCTTTATAGTTCACATTAATTATTTAATAATAGTTTTAATAGTTTTTTATGTATCAGATTCAGTACATTTTTATCGACTTAAGTTTTCCTAAAAATTCCGTTAATAACAAGATTATTCTACACACATATCTACTATTGTTTATATTGTTTGATGTTTCTAAATGTAAAGCGTCGCGATTATTAAAGCCACTAACTACTTAACACTGAAAAGAACCTGCACCTGCTCCATAGATAAGAGGGTTAGGTTAGGTTAGGTTACCTGCTCCCAAATGATGTATTTGCATCAAGCGTTATTACTCTATAACCTATAATTCTAGGAAGAAAGATTCTAGCGCGGCACTTCAGTTAATATGGAATATTTGATGTTCAATATTCAATTACCTCAATGCCGAAACGCATTCAGATTGTTATAGAAGCCCAATTTTCTTTTTTTATATATATATTTTCGACTAACGTCTGTTATAATTATATTTTGTCGTATAAATTGAATTTCTTGTTTATATTTGATGTTTTTTTCTTGCATTTATAGACGATGTAAAAAAAACAAAATTTGTTTAATTTACTGATGTAAAAACTGGCACCAAATTTTTTATTCTTCGCTAAAAATATAGGAGTGGATGGATTTTTTTACACGTGAATGTATATAAATCTACAGAAGCTGTCCTCTGGTTGTCAATGTTTATTTTTCTAAAAGAGTTTCGTTAAAGGACAACGGAAATTGTAGGAAAATCTCTCTATCTAAATATAATCCGTGCATCCTCTTTTGTATGCAAAAAATAGGTAATGCACGTACTTGTCTTAAGAAAATTCTAACCAAAGATTCTTCTTCTAAATTAATAAGTTGAAATGAAGGCACTAAAAATGTAGGTAATTTACTTTATAACCGCTTCGTAAATGAAATTCTTATCGCCCTAATTTGCGCTTTTCTTTTTACCTTCCTATCACCGCGATCGTCGTCGCTCTGGTTTTCGTCTGGTATATGTAAGACAAAACAAACAATTAAACAAATGATAAAAAAGTGAGCTACTCAATGATATAACCTAAAACTAAAAAAAAAATGCATAAATATACCGTATGTGAGGCATGATCCCTTTGGTGCACCCCTGACTCACTTTTAGAAACAGTCGGTAGTCTATGGGAGCCAAACCTGCAGAACATGGCGGATGCTCTACTAATTAGAAGCCTACTTGAGCGACTGTAGTTGTTGCAATTGAAGGACTGGGTGAGTTATCCTGATTGAACATAACACCCTTGCGCAACTTCCCCTACGTTTTTCCTTTATAGCGTCAAATAATTCTGAAATTAATTTGACATCATCTTCTTCTTAAAGTGCTATACCTAATTTTCCGCGTACACAGCTCCTGTGCTTATAAACTGATAATGCACCTGTAATTATAGATCCCTTTTGCAACCAGTTAGAATCATAAAATACGGTTAACCTGACGTTCCCTGCGGAAGACTGCATATTGAATTCTTTCGGGTGTGTAACCATCGATGTATACACTCCAATCATAGTAGTGATGGATCCAAAACTCGTTGTTACTAATTTTGCAAGAAAATGCTCCTGATCTTGTCTATAACGCATTAAAAGACAACTGCACATGTCTTTTCCATATGGCTTGTGTGCACCTGTTAATAGTCGTGGGATCCATCTTGCACACATTTTTTTAAGGATAATGGGCGCACTAATTGCATGTTCGTCTGTGTATGCCTATCTGTTACATTTAAATATATAACATTACGTGAGATATAACGTTTCCCTAAGTTATATGATACTGCCTGTTCCTCTAACATATCTTCCAAATCTCGAGTTGGAATCATAATTCTAAGAGCACGTATTTAATCATCGCTCATTACACAATACTACCCATTTTAATATTGCAACTCTCTCGATTTCGCACATCTGTACAGGCTTCAAAAGGAGCAGACTTTTCTAGCTTGAGTATATATGCAACAGGTTACAATGCGATGGGTCAGGGACGGAGCAAATTGATCTACCCTCGTAGGTGGGCTACATGAAACGATAAAATCTTCGTTTTTTGGCAGTTTGAATTAGATAAAATAGGACTACAAATACACATTATATTACTGAATCTGATACCTACTACACACGAACAATCCTTACCGAGATAAAAACAGATATATTTCACCCTGTTCTAGATCATTCCATAAACATATATTTCCACAACTATAAGCTCTTTTGCAGATATTACACCATAACAATATATCACTTTTAAAAATAAATACAAATGTTACATTTAATTATTTGGAATGGGTATATGCGCCTATCTATGTAAAATTACAACAACTATTCGTTTTTCTCGCTGTCTTGTAGAATGCCTTGGACTGTATGCTTAAACCTTCCGACTTGCTCACCAAGTCATCAAGTTTCTCGCCTCGTTCCAAAACTGCTTGTATGGTATTATGCTGCAAAAAATAGAGTAAAGAGATTTACAGTACGGGCGTAAAATATGGAAACATAAAGATATCTGTGACACCCCGTATGATATAGTAATAAAATGTTGGTTATGTGTATAAGATGGACCAGCGATTAAAATTTTATATTTTCAACATTGCCAAATGTACAGTTTTTGAGATATACTAGGGGTACGGAATTTTCGCAGATAAAAAATATGTATTTCGCATTTACTTTTTTTATAATTACAAAATTTCGCATTTATTTTGAACAAACATTAATCAAAAGCTAACATCGTTGTAGTGTAACTCCGCCGTTGCCTGGTCCCAAGTCCAGGAGGAGAAAGAGGAGTGTTAAGCAAGGGACTAACTATTCCTTCTTGTAAAAAAACATAGTTATGAAAACGAAGCACATGCCTCGGATAAGGACGGATCTTTTAAGACGACAAAGGAGAATGAATATAGGAACCTGGAACGTACTAAGCCTATATCGGCCTGGAGCCCTAACTCAGGTGGTCAAAGAACTTGAATCCAGAAACATGGACATAACTGCTTTACAAGATATTAGATGGACTGCAGAAGCTACACTAAAATCTAATAAATCAGTAGTATTTTTCAGCGGAAGCGAACGGGAACATCAATTCGGCACTGGTTTTATAGTCAGGGAAAGTCTTGTGGGGGCCAGTCTTAACTTTCAAACCCGTTAATGAAAGACTCTGTTATATTAGACTCAAAGGACAACTACATAACTATTCCCTAGTTGCTGCCCATGCACAGACAGAGAAAAAGGAAGAGCATGTAAAAGATAACTTCTATGAGAAACTCGAGGAACTGATAAATAATCTACCCAAACAGGACATGCATATTATCTTAGGAGATTTCAATGCAAAGATTGGGAAGGAAGCAGCGTACAAAGCAACAATTGGTAACAATAGTCTTCACGATGTCAGCAACGATAATGGAACAAAGTTAATAGACTTTGCAGCGTCCCACAATAAAATCGAAAATGTTCGAACACAAAAAAATACACAAACAAACATGGGTCTACAACGACGGCGTCACAAGAAATCAGATCGATTATGTTCTAGTAGATGCCAGCAACTGTCTAGACGTAAGAAGCCTAAGAGGAGCTGATGGAGACACGGATCATTTTCTGGTAAAAGCGAAGATGAGGACAAGAATAGCGTCCAAAAAAACACACAAAAATACATCAATACAATTATGGAATACCGAAGTTCTACGTAATAAGGAGACAGAACAGAAATTTCAAAAGGCTATAAAAATCGCTCTAACACAGACAGAAGACTATAACAACATAGACTTAGCTTGGAAAAATATCAAATTAGATCTGACAAGAGTATTAGATGAAAACAACAAAAAAATGGTTCGATGATGATTGCCTGAACTCCATAACAGCAAGAAATATGGCTAGAAGGAACATGCTACAAAACCCCTCGCACAAAAACAATGAAATGTATAGACAAAGAAGAACAGAGACAAGAAAACTAATGAAACGGAAGAAGAGAGAGTATCACGAACAAATAATCACAGATATAGAAGAAAAAAGAAAGAACAAATAAGCGAGACAGTTCTTCAAAGATGTTTCAGATATCAAGACCGGGTACCAAGCAAAAACAGGAAACTTCTTTCAAAACGACAGCGGGCAGCTTATCACGGATGACAAGGAAATCCTAAAAACCTGGAAGGAATACTTCTATCAACTATTGAACGACAAATCTAGCAGAAATACATCAAACATGGAGGTACATAAAGCTGAAATAGAAGACCAATACCCGACATATGAAGAAGTAATACAGGCAATTAAAAAACTTAAAAATAATAACACATCAGGTAGCGATGGTATAAATTTAAGACATTTGTCGAGAAGAAACAATGCCAGATGAATGGAAAGAAGGGGTTAATGTACCAATACACAAAAAAAGAAACAAAACGCAATGTATTAACTACAAGATAATAACACTCCTAAACACCACCTACAAAATCCTTGCAAACATCCTGCTAGAAAGAACCAAAACATACACAGAAAATTCGTTGGAGATTATTAATGCGGATTTAGGCCGGGCCGCTCTACTATTGACCAGATATTCACAATAAAACAGATAATGGAAAAATGCTGGGAGTTTGATCGTGAGCTTCATCAGATGTTCATGGATTTTAAACAAGCATTTGATAGAGTATGCAGGGACAGACTGTGGATAGCGATGCAGGAACTTGGCTTCCCAAAAAAACTAGTCAGGTTGATACGGATGTGTATGGAACGGTTACGATGTAAGGTAAGAGTTGGACAATGGACTAAAACAGGGAGATGCACTTTCACCACAACTCTTCAACTTAGCTCTGGAGCACATTATCGGAAGTGCAAGAATCGAAAAACCGAATACAGTATTTCATCGAGAAGGACCAATCTTACTATTAGCATTTGCAGACGATATCGATCTAATAGGAAACACACGATTAAGGATGAAGGAGCAGAGAAGGAAGCAGAGAAGATGGGGCTCCAAATCAACGAAAACAAGACGAAATATATGTATATGAGCCGCAATAACCAAAGCAGAGACAGAATCGGTCAGAACATCACCATCGATGACTTTAACTTTGAGCGCGTTAGAGAATTCAAGTATCTTGGAACAACAATAACTGAAGACAATACCGGATCACAAGAAATAAACAACAGGATTCAGGCCGGCAGCAGATGTCTTTTTGCATTCCAAAACCTTATAAAATCGAAACAACTAACAAGACGTATGAAGATACAGGTCTATAAACAATCATACGACCCGTTGTGATGTATGCAAGCGAAACGTGGACGATAACAAAGGCAAACTAAGAGAGACTATGTCTTTGGGAAAGAAAAATCCTAAGGAAGATCTTTGGTCCTGTGCTGGATGAAGCATCAGGACAATATAGGATAAGAACTAACAAAGAGCTCGAAGAACTTTACTCAGACGCCAAAATCATAAAAGAAATAAAGTCCAGAAGACTCCAATGGGCAGGACACCTCAGAAGACATTCTGATGAACGAACAGTAAGACTGGTGTGGGAGGAAGTCTCAACTGGAAGGAGACCACGCGGACGCCCTCGTTTCCGGTGGCGAGATAATATAGCGGGAGACCTAAGCACTATGGGCGTGGATAATTGGATGGAGGTTGCTCAGGACAGAAAACAGTGGAGGCATCTTGTCAATTCGGCTAAAACCCACGAAGGGTTGTAATGCCACAGAGTAAGTAAGTAACATCGTTGTAATTTCAACATTCAACTCTATAAGAGCTGTTCTTCGATCTGTCACTACAATATTATATTTGCTGAAGAATCATTCTGCGTCTACGCTTGTTGGACTCCAGATGCTCTGTAATGCTGCTTTAGGAAATGATGGAAAACTGCACTGTGTAGCAAGCAACATATCCTTCACGTTGGGATCTTCGTTCCTCTGTATCAATTGAAGAATTAATCTATGAAACTGAGTAGGTATATCCATCTATGTACTCCAATTGTGTCATTGTTCTAAACAAAGGAATTATAGAAAAGCTTTCTGAGAGTACATTCACAGTAAAACTATACATGGATTAAATAACTGTCCAATGTGTAAGAAAGCCTCATTTGTGCCTTTTAAAGCCATATGGAGAGTTAGTTTATTAAAGGCTTTGTTGTTTGCTTTCATAAGCATTTCCTTCAGTGTAGCGTCAATTTCTTCATTTTCAGTGAGCAATCGAGATGATTTTACATCAAAATAACCTTGGCGATGGTATTCAATTGACGATTTTAAGTCCTCTAATTTGTTCCATAAAAGATGGGCGAATGGATAACTGAATCCTTCCAAATCATCTATTAATTTCATTAATTTTGGACAGAACTAGGTGGTGAAGGTAATTTCAATTTCTAGTTTACGTCTGAAAGTTTCATTGATGTAATTGTCTTTGAGAAATTTAATACTGGAATTTTCATTCTCCCACACATCAAAAACAAAAATATGTGATTAAGATATTCACTTAGATACGACACTGTTGAAAACCAAGAGTTCCATCTAGTTACAACTGGTGCTGGATAAAGTTTTGCTGCTGGGAGATTGGGCACATTTTCTTTCAAATAATTCAAATAAGAGTTCTTCACTTTTCTTGAAAGACAAAAGGCTGACTTGACTTATACTGTAAACATGTTTAACTCCTTGAACTCTCCTACAAAATCATCAGCAACAAAATTAACTTTATGAGCCCAACACTGGTAATGTAAGTATGTGGCTCTATTAGAATTTTTAACAGGTTAAAGCAAGCAGACATGTATCTTGCTGAATCTGATACCAGGTCTTTAACTTGTGAATAATCAATTTCAAAGTCTTTTAGTGTTTCTGTAATTGTCTGTGAACACATTGATACATTGGCAGTATCAAGGAAGTTAACACTTGCTAAAAAACATTGCAAAATATCAATTTATTACTGTATCTTTATCTATTTAATGATGAACAATGAAAGATCCTTCTGTTTCAACATGTGTTACAACAATAAACAATCCTTTCAATAATTATATTAGAAAACTTTCGGTAAAATCTTTCCATAACTTCGTAACTACCTACTTATTTAGGGGTGAGTTGAGCACCTCCAGATATTTCGTGGAAATAAACAAAAACTCCATATTTCGCATTTATCACATTTATGTTCAAAATTTCGCCAAAATTCTAATCTATTTCGTAAAAATGAATATTCCGTACCCTTAGATTCTGTTTTAAATGTTGGATATTGTTTTATGTAAACTACAGTCCTACAAACCAAGCGAGGACTTTTTAAGACTAGAAAACCATATACAATATAATTTATTAGATTAGTTAAACATAAAGTTTTTTTATTATAATAAATCAATATCTGTACCAAGTATAGTTATAATTAAATACCACAAACAAATAAACAATAATAAAGTACAGATAAATTTCAGACAAACGCAATATTTTGTTATCTTGCTTTAGTTCTGAATATATTTAGTAATCAATATAATGCATAATGCAAAAGATAATACTTTTTTTAACTAAAGAATATATACTGAAATATTAGCTCCTAATATTTTATCTACATTAATAATTCTTACCAGAATAATTTTCGTTTCATCAAGATCTTCTTGAATTTTAGTCATAGCATCTGCTTCTCTAGGATTTTGATATTTTGCTAAGTAGGTATTTAATTGTGGAAATGCTACATCTCTCTCCTCAAGGTTGGGCCAGTTAGCTGCGGGAATTCTGGCAGCAAATTCATCTAGTACTTTTGTTATTAGTGTGTGAGAAACTCTTGATGGGTACTCATGATCAGTTATCATAACACCAGCTAAGTTGTCAGCTCTTACATATACATGACACAAATATTCTAAAAGAAAGTACTAATTACCAATAATTTTACTACAAAATATACAGTGAAATCGAACCTCCTTCTTTAACACTCTGTCTGGAAGCTGGTATTGTTCTTTCCACTATGGTTTTGCAAAAGAATGACATAAACTCCTGAATTGACCCTCTTTGGAAAAAGCTGAAGCTTTGAAGCTCGAAACCCGATTTTAACCAGGTCGCAGTTGTTGGTCCTTTATATAAAACACTGAGACAATATATTTTCACCATTGTTTATTAATGTTTTTTTGACTATTCCCAGAATACTATCAGATCATAACATAACCTTTCAATATGGTACACCTCGACTTAAAGTACACTTTCTCAAAAACATAAGATGTATAATTAACAAAGTATTCAATATCGTTAAAATAATTAGGAACCACTTTCACTAAATATGTAATACATAAAAAATTATGTCAAAACTAACACTGACAAATAATTTAATCTTCGAACTTTCAACTTCAATTCTCCCCACTTGCCCCACCTTGCACGTCATCACTTCTTCTTTTTTCCACAATTGAATTACTTATCCAAATCTACAATTAGTAATGATGGTATGGTAAAGATTTTAGATATATATTACCTAGGTTATATTAGGAAAAGCACTCAAAATACATTCATTTGACTGGAAGAAGTTAGCAGTTAAAACATAATTTAAGTATCTCAGATCTGATCTCACCTCAGACGCTCAGAGTGTCAGTCAGGCAGGAAGGAGTCAGACCAAGACCAGACCACTTCCATCCATAGTCTACAATCTACACAGTCACAGCCATCAACCGATTTGAACAATACAAGATTTAATAACAGGAATTATTTTATTTGATTTATTAGACCTTATTTATCATTAGAAAAAATAATTATCACGATAACAATACCTCTTTTTTAGTGGTTACATTACCCTTTCTATATTTGATAAATCAAAACTGATTAGAATTTATTCATCTGTTACCATGACAACGGCGTCAGTACATCATGTTTTATCATTTTATTAAAGTTCTAACCTCTAATAATTTTTAGATGTCCATCTAACCTAACCTTTAAAATTGAAAAAGTTCTATTTCTCTTTGAGTTTCACAAGAATTTATTATTTTATATAGAAAATATTCATGGCAGCTGAAAATGTTACTATATCAGATAATAAAAAGATATCTGATGAAGACAGACAATTTAAAGTTAAAGGTAACACCAGTTGATTTCTTGGAATATCTAAAATCTACTTTTGCATTTCTTGGAATATTTAAAAATTACTTATCATGTTATTTGTAGCTGCAATCTTCCTTTCTGGAGTGTCTGGTATATCAGCGATTATAGGATTTGGAGCAACATTAGCATCTGCAAAAAGGCAAGACCCAAAACATTTTGGAATTGGTATGACGCCAACAAGAGAATTATCCGAGACTGGTGCATCTTTAGCATTACGAGCTCTAGGATGGGGAACTTTATATGCATTTGCAGGATGTGGAGTGCTATTTTATGGCATTTGGAAACTGTCAGGGGCTAAGAACGTAAGCTGGAAATATATTTAGTGATAATCGTAAATGTGGGTTATATCAAAAACAAGTTTCTATATTGACTCATTCTTATCAATGGGCAACAATATTTGAAATATCTAAATATCATTTTTTGTGTACAAATATATAAATATACAGTTTATACATATATCCAGACAAAATATAATATAGCAATGCCAGGCAAAACTGTTATGTTACATATACCAACACTAAGTATTGTGTTTAATTTTTGGATTTATTTGTTTTAGTTACAAGAATTCAGATATAAAATGGGTTCTGCACTTCCTGTGATACCGAGGAATAATCCACCTCAAGGAAGAACTGAATTTAGTGGATTGAATGATCTCTTAGACTATTTGCAACATCAAAAAGGTGTAAAAGACAAATAAATCATCAGAAGCTATGCAATTCTAGTTGTTTGTTCAGTTTTATGAATAATAACAGTGAGATATTTATACATAGACCCATAGATATAACAAAAAAAAAATAGTAGAATGTAGTTTATTTTCCATGTTAATTATGCCCAAAAATTTAGTGTTACAGACTCTAGTGTTGATATTTATTTTATTGCTTTTTTCCAGTTGCTCTTTAAATATGGTAAATGAACTGAAAACATGTAAATATATTAGGTATCACTTGTAATTTTTTGTTTACTTGTATGTTATGGTTAATATATCTAAGAATTGTAAATATTGTTAATAAATATTTATAAAATTTGTATCCCACATTATGAGACTGCTTTGAATCATATAAATAGTATGAAAAAAGATTTTGGATTTTTTACTAGATATTCACAATCTTAATTTTTAGTATTCGCATCTGCTGATCATTCAGTCAGTATAGAAAACCTAATGAATCAATAAAACGTAAAAATTGGTCTGTTAACAATAAATGCACCCTCGTATAATTCAATCTTTTTCATTCCTTATTGGTTTGTAAAATTAGTGTCTGCTATTCGAACTCTAGCAGTCAGCTGTGAAGTCACCACTCAATGTCAAATCTGTGACCACTTGTCACAATTTTCATTGTGTCAACTGTCAAAATTGTTGAGTGGTGAATGTCGGATAATCTTCACTTTTTAGGAGTGTTTCTTGTTTATTTGTAAAAAACGATAATATGCGTATCTCTAAACAAGATGATATATTAAATTCTGTCCAATAATGTGTGTAGTGAAGTGTAACACATATGAAAAAGACTACACTTAGAATATGAGTTAAATTGGTTGAAGTTTCCTTTGTATTTAGTTTGTAAGTCTATTTTCCATTAATTGTTGTCTAAATCTAGATTAGGAAATCACCTTATAAACGTGAACTTTTAAGTCTGCCGTAGGAATGATAATTGAAAGATAAACATACTCATACTGTCACATTAAGTATTGCCTATTGGGCTTTTATTTTATGTAATTTAGAACACAATTTATGATCTATTAATTTTGTTGTTGATTCTTTTGAATCGACCCTGTCATGGTTAACCCAATTCCTCATAATTGCTTATCAATTTAATCACTCATTTCAAGATTTAATCTTGGAAGTAACAATGAGCCTGGGTATGTTGTTTAAGTACATTTGAAACATCTGATTGTGAAATATATGCATCATTCATTTTATTAAAGAACAGAGATGTAATTTTCAAGATTTATTGTTTATGTAGAAAATTATTATCTGAGAATTTTTTTTGTTACAAAACAAATAATGTCTATTTTTTTAATGTTTGTTAACAACTAAAATGGATGACAGTATTTTAAATAGTATATATTGGAAGACTTAAAAACTATAGTTTACAATGTTTCTAGAAAACAAACTAACTACAAGTACTTTTGTGCTAATTTGTGTTTCATAAGTAACTTATTTCAACATTTATACCATTATTTACTAATTCTTGAAGAATAGATTCACTAAGGTATTATTTTTGGTCCTAAATTACTCATTAATTATAGTGTGGGACTTTTTTAATTGTTTAAATTATCCTTTATATGCAAAACCAGAGTTACTTGGATTATATTTTCTATATATCCTATTTCTTAGCTGTAATACTAGATTGTGTTATAATCCTTGAAATATATCAATTAGTGTTTCTTCTCAACCATGGATATAACACATTAGTTTTATTTTTTGACCTATCTGATAATTATGAATCACTCACCAACAATTTCAACCAAAATAGTTGATATGTAACTTCCGAACTTTGTTTTTAAATAAATAAATTTCATTTTAATTTCTGGGGTCAACGAAATCATATACTTAATATTACACAATTATTTGTTGTTTGAGATATTTATTTTAAAATGCAAAATGGTTAAAATTGGAAACAACATACTGGAGTACTCACATGCTATGATGCTAATTAATATGTATTGACACATCTTTTTTTATAAAACAGCTGTTCATTAACATTAATATTTTAATTGGGATTCAAGGTCATTAAATGGATCATTAGAGTGATAGATGATTAGTCATTCATTAATATTTGATATCAAAAACACTGATAATTTTGACTGTAGTGCAGTATACACATTAAAATCCATATTACTGATAAAAGTATCAAAAAAAAAATGATTAATACACTTTCATAAACGAACTGTTCTAAAGGTGTTTGTGACATGATAATACATAGAAATATTGTAATTACACCTCCAATAAGATGTTTAATTAAGATTTAAACATATTTATTTATTTACGGGATGTCCCCATTTTTACAAAATTTAACAAAAGTAAAATATGCTAACCATAATACAAGTACATACTAAAACTAAGTATTAAATAATTATTAAATAATTATTGTTAAACAAATGATTAAATTAAGTAAATTAAATTAAATTTCCTGAAGATCTTAATAAAATGCAATGATCTTAATAAAATGAAATGAAATGAATACTCCAAGTTAAATGTCACTCATCTTTGATTCCTAACATAGTCAGTCAAACAGTGCTTTAAATCCTATAGATGAGACTGGCTAAGGTCATTTACCTGGATCTAAATCCTGTTAAAAGGAGAAAAAGTGCCATAGTTCATGTGATAGTGTTTTATAGAAAACAAAGGCACATCTCTAGACTGCCTAGAGACAAGAATTCTAGTGTTACATTTAAAGTTGATAAGACTTAATAAATCAGAACAGTCAGTGGTATGGTCAAGTAGTTTATGGAGAAAACTAGATCACATTTAGTTCTGTAGTCTTTTAAGAAACTGATATTTAGCCTTGACCTTAGTTCTACCAAAGACATGTTCCTTAAGTTTAATCTATAAGCACATATCTGGAAAAACTTATTTTCGATTTTTTCAAGGGTGTGAATATGGTTAAAATAGTATGGTGGCCATACTATAGAAGCATAAGACAGGATATATACCTATATGTGGGTACTGAAAGATCTTGAGAGTTTCTTGTGATAAAACCTAGATTTCAGTAAACTTTATTTGACAAATTGTTGATTAAATGACAAGTAACTGTCAAATAACACTCCTAAATCTTTTCAGTCACTGTTGATAGATGGCTTGTATTAATGTGATAGTCAAACACAACATTATTTTTAGATTTGCTTAAGGATATAACAAAACACTTATCTTTGTTTAACTTGTTTAACCATTGAAAAGAGACCAATTATACAAGAAAGTAAGGTCTTCCTGGATCCTTGGACAATCAGATAGATTTGAAACTTTAAAATATAACTTAAGGTCATCAGCAAATAGCAAAAACTGATAAACCTTTATTACCTCAGAAATATCATTAATAAACAAATTAAAGAGAAGAGGACCCACATGTGAACCTTGTGGGACCCCTGAACTGACCAAAATAGGAATTGAAAGTAAATCCTTTATTTAACCTTTATTTTACAAACTGAATTCTTTTATCAAGATGAAGAACTACTTAACCATGAAAGGAACCACTCAGGAAAGCCAATACATCTTAATTTAAAGATGAGTAAGTCTGATGAGTATATTTAATATTTCTTTGTGCACTCTTATTCATCACCAATTCACAACCTGGAAAAACATGTTGCAAAACGAGTTTTTTGTTTGTTGCAGAGAAGAGTTAATGTGTGTGGCCATGAATGGATAACATTTTTAAACAATTTTTGTCGAATTATGTAACTTAGGTTAAAGTTAATGATTCTTGCAACTTAGGTTAGTTTATTGTATTTGCTGTTTTTTTTTTATATATTTTTCCATTTAATATTGGAAAACATCTGTATTTCAAAGGTTAATTTATAGATTTTGTAAATGGTTTCAGCTTCACAATTCGTTATGCTCATAATAAAGGATTATTTATTTTTAATATTATTGTTTATTTATTTTTGTTTATCAAATATTTAAAAACCATATAAATCAAACAAAAATGTTTGGATTATTCTTAACGTAAGTGAATTAGCTGATTGTATGAAAATCTAGCCTTTCTGTTGAAAACAAGCTACTCTTTTATAAATGTATATCAAAGCAAATTTAGACTTAGAGAGGTCTGTTATAGGTTTGTTCCAAATTAGCAAATGTCAAGATTATACTATATTTTGAGTATAATCAAAAGTACTAAGAATGCCATTCAATGCTTCCTCAACATTATGATCCTTCACCCAGGATACAAGATGAAATTCATAGAATTACAAAAAAATATTTAGATGGACTGATACTTCGTTAGAATTATGAAGAAATGTATTAAGTTAATTCTCCCAGATTTGTCAGAAGATTGAATAAGCTTTGGTTAACAAATTTGTTTAATTAAAACCTATAAACTTTTTGTCTCTCATACTTTACTCATCAAAGTATTTAATTAGAAATTTACTTTATAGATTTACTAAATCAGAAAAATAAAACAAAAGTCACTACCTATTCTTTAGAATGTTTTTATGTTTGATATTTTTCCTGATTTTTTGCACATCTATATATAAAATATCAAAAAGTCTATTCCTAGCAAAGTAAGAAACATCTGTCCATTTGACCATACAAATGTATATTTGACCATTTTGTGGGTATTTTAAAAATACTTCAGGAGAAACTGACACAAAAATAATCAATTAATTCAAATTAGTTCATAAAAACTACATTTTTCTTTTTTCATTTTAATTTTTGAATTTTCTAGTATGTATCCTTATTTTGTAGATAGTTATAGAACAGTACAGACATGGCAAGGGAGCAGGTAACCAGAAAATGGGAAATATTTCAAGGTAGAAATAGGTTTTACTGCAATGGAAGGCTAATGACTGCACCACATTCTGGAGTATTTTTGTTGACTCTTTTTTTAATTACTGTAACAAGTGTGTTATTTTTTGTATTTGAGTAAGTAAAACATATTCTTTATTTGTTGCTAGTAAATAGTGATGCTGATACTCTGAAATATTTTATTTAGCTTTAAAATATACTCACTTAATACTACTTACAATGTACAGTCTCTTTTATATAATACTCCATTCAAATTTTTCATATTTTATACATTGCTGGAAGTTTTTGTTGGCTCCTTCAAGAATTATGTAGCTTTTTATCAGCTGCATAAGCTTTGTCTATTCAATACATTATGTATTTATGGTTTATTGGCTATTATAATACCTTTAATAAAGTTCACCATGATAATCTTATGGAAAAAACCTCCACCCAAAAGATATTAGCATTATTTCAAGTCTGTACTATGGTCAAAGACCATATAGTTCATATAGAACATCTAAAAGAAAATACAACTGAAGATATATAAATAGAGAGAGGAGTTTGTCAGGGTTTTGCCAATCCTTTGAACATGTACTTGAAGATATTATGAATAAAGCACTCGCTGATCAGGAATATGCCACTACAATTAACAAAAGCCCAGTTAACAATCTGAGATATGCAGATGATACAATGCTGATAACTAAAACACTTGTTTTGACAAAAAGGTCTTGGAATTATGCATAGCCTTGATGATTGTCAACCTTCCGAATCAAGGTGGTACTTGAATAAGAAGAATAAGTAAAACTGCCACATTTCTAGGAAATATATCAGTTTGATGTGTTTTATGGGCTGGTAAAATCATTGGACCTTAGACATTTTTAACTGTTCTGACTGTACATTATAGTCAATGATAACTGCTGTAGAAGCATATAAGAGTGTACAGATGTTGAGACAACACCCACATTCAATGAGATACAATAGCTAAAATAACAGATAATCCTAATTAAAGAAGTCTACTTGGGGCGACCACTGTAGTCTAGCGTAACTGAGAAATTACTTTCGTTAAATTATACAATTGCTGTATAGCTTTTTTAGTATATGCTTTTTTACAATGTATTTTATATGACATATTTTTTGTAGTTGTAAATATTTGGCAGAAAATGTGACAATAGCCATTCCGATCATCGGAGCTTTGCTGTTCTTATTTACAGTGTCTTCCCTTTTGCGTACAAGCTTGTCTGACCCAGGTATCATACCTAGGGCGTCGTCAGAAGAGGCAGCCTACGTTGAAAAGCAAATAGGTGAGAATTAAAAGTGCAGTTAGTTTTTCAAGGGTTTAATATATTGCTTTATATGTTTTAGAAGTAACAAATTCTGCCAACAGTCCTACATATAGACCGCCACCCAGGACGAAAGAAGTTTTGGTGAAGGGTCAAACCATTAAACTTAAGTATTGCTTCACTTGTAAAATATTTAGGCCGCCTAGAGCTTCGCATTGTAGTTTATGTGATAATTGTGTAGATAGATTTGATCATCACTGTCCATGGGTGAGTATATTTGTAATAATTTGTTTCTAAGGTGCCTTTCCAACATGATTGGCAATTAAATATTTTTAATTTTAACATTGTTATTGACATATACTTTTCATTGACAAGACACACATCATCTTCATTGATTTTTAGAGTACCTATGATAGCATCCATTGAGAATTTCTGATCCACGCACTGAAAGAGTTTAATATTCCAACTCAACTCATTGATGTAGTAAGAGAAACACTTAAAGTACAAAGCAAAATTCGAATTCAAAACGCACTAACAGATACAATCCATGTGAGAACGGATCTACGACAGGGAGATGCCCTATCCTGTATTCTCTTTAAAATCACAATTGTGAAAATAATTAGAGAGTCAAAAGTCAACACTGGAGGAACAATAATAACAAAAAGTGTACAAATATTGGCATTTGCAGATGATGTTGATATCATAGCTAGAAGCGAAAGAGAGATGATAGAAGCATTTAATGCGATATAAAGAGCGGCATAAAATAGTGGCCTAAACATTAACGAAATAAAAACCAAATACATGAAGGCCAGCAAATCGACAGGCCAAAGAAACCTACAGAATCCGACAATAGGAGACTACAACATCGAAAGCGTGAAAAATTTTACATATCTCGGTTCACTAGTTACCGCATATAACAATGTCAGTGAAGAAGTTAAGAATACATATCGCTAATAAAACATATAATGAACTAATTAAACATCTAAGATTTAATAACATCACAAAAAAAACCAAATGCAAAATATACAAAACCCTGATACAACCGGTCCTTGTATATGGATCAGAGATATGGACACTGTCGAAAAGCGATGAAAATTTATTAGGTACGTTTGAACGAAAAATCCTTAGACACATATACAGTGCGTTAAGTTTTTGATTAGGTATTGCACACTATTCGGAGCGCTAAAATCGGCAACGTTGCAAATGTTCGTTCTCCGACCCGAGACTATCTCAGTATCTACTGGTATCTACACCGACAGAAAATCATTTATTTTAGTTTAGTAACTCACAACAACGTTTGGGATGTACTTCTCTGTCTTCCAATCTCATGTTTCATTACGTATAGCCGATTTTAATAGTAGGAAATTCGATAAAAATGTACTGACCTAATCGGTGCATTGTTATCGATTTTTATTAATGTGAAAATTTTTTTGTGGTTGAATTAAAAATAAAAGCGTATTTCTTTAAAAAGATAAAATAAAAAATATACTCTTATTGAAAATTAAAATATTATTCCTAATAAAATAAAAAATAATTCTTTATGACCTACAGAAATGGTTCAAATAGTTGACCTTCTACGGCTGAACAGTACCCCAATATGTCATAAAAACTTCTGCGAACAGATGAAAGAGTTTCTGCTGTCACAGAATTGGAGACTTCTCTTATTCGATTTTTTAATTCATCCAAATTTTGGGCTCTAGCCTCAGGATGAGCGTAGATAATGCTTTTTAAATGACCCCAAAAAAAGAAGTCCATGGGTGTAAGATCTGGAGATCGCGCAGGCCACTTAATATCGCCTGTTATACTGATAACTCGATTCGGGAAAGTATTGTTTAAATACTCCCTAATAATTCGAGCGTTGTGAACTGAACAGCCGTCTTGATGAAACCAAATATTCTCCAGATTTACATAGGAAGATTGAGAATAGCGGGAAGAACATGGTTCTGTAACAAATCGAGGTATACTCTACTATTCAGGTTGCCCTCAATAAAAAATGAACCTATTATGTGGTCTCCTAAAATGCCAGTCCAGACGTTAACTTTTTGAAGACGTTGAGTTCGGTAAACAACACTTCTGTTCTGGTTTTCCCGCGCCCAATATCTCGTAATGTGTCTCCCTACTAACTAAACAGAAGATTCATCAGTGAATAAAATGTTTTTAATAAAATTTGGTTCACTATTAGCTTTCGTTATTAGAGTTTCACAAAACTCCATTCTTCGAAAGTAATCGTCTGGATAAAGCTGCTGCGTTTTCGAATATTTAAAATTCTTGTAACCGTGCTTTTTCCATACTTTCGTTACAGTAATATTGCTAACATCAATGAATAACTAATAACTCTCTAGCAACGCTTCTACTTGAACGTGTTGAATCTACCTCGGTTGTTGCACAAATTTGTGTATTCCGGTATTCTTTCCTCAACTTTTTCTGGAGCGTGACATTTTCTGCAATTTTTGAGGCAATAGCAACTCTCAAAATTTTTAACAATATTATAAATTGACTGTACACAAGGAATTGGTCTTCCCTCAAAAAACACAGAAAATAAATCTACACACTGTTGCGCAGAATTGCCACTATAAAACCATTTTATTATTTGAGCTTTTTCCGCGGCCATATAAACAGACATGTTTACAAAAATAAATTAAAACTCTACGCTGTTATACCTTTAAACAACCACGGTATAATGACAATATGACAAATTTGCCGACGGGCGACGAGCAACGACGAGTCAACGAAGCAGATATGTAGTGCAAGTCGACGACGCGCAGTGTTGCCATTTATAGAGTGTATACCTAATCCAAAACTTAACGCACTGTATAAGGGGGTGAAAGAAAATGACATATGGCGCAGAAGATATAACTTTGAACTATACACAGCATACAATGAACCCAAGATCATAATATCCATAAAGATTTAACGTTTGCGCTGGATGGGCCATGTTGAACGGATGTTGGAGACTGAAACACCAAAACATATAATAAGGCAAACACCAGTAGGGAGAAGGTCAAAGGGAAGACCCAAACTTAGATACATGGAACAAGATCTGAAAATATTTAAGATTACCAACTGGAAAAACAGAGCAAGGAACAGAACAGAATGGCGGAAAATCCTAGAACAAGCCAGAACCCAGAAAGCGTTGTCGAGCTACTGATGTTAATGATGATTGACATATACTACCACCAGGAGTTCCATCAGCTGCCTAATGTTTGTTTTTATTGATAAATACTTCAATGCCAGTGATATTAAATAAAATATTTTTTTAATAGAATGTTTAGTGGAATAGATTAAAAAATGGCAAAATACCTAATTACAGACATTGACTGAGAAGTAGAATTAATTTGTTCCTATTAGGTCATGCTCCGATTGTTCATAAATTCTGTAACACATCAGATTTTGCAGTGTCACTTTACTGTCTTACTACAATCTTTTCCATGTCAAAAAACGAGCTCACTTCTCACGTGAACAATATAATATCTTTTTGAGAGTATTCTTACACACGAAAATAATGATTAATTAATGATTTTCAGGTGGGAAACTGTGTTGGTAGAAGAAATTATAGGTTTTTTTACATGTTTATAGTATCACTAGCATTTTTAGCAGTATTTATATTTGCCTGTGCAGTTGCGCATCTTATTTTAAGTAAGTTACATTTTTTTACATTCTTTTAAATACTTTATAATACTTTTAAAAATACTAACTACTTTTAACTCACTACAAACAAAAGAACTAACTCACTATACTTAAATAACACTCATCACTTTGTAAATGTCACATTAATAATTATCGTACATCGCTTTACAAGATAAACACTTTGCTAATCGTATAAAAACTGTCTCGTCAAAGGAACGCCGCAGCTGTTTTTATACACGCACAGATGTTCTAGAGATCGCCAGCGAAGGCAAGAACTTTTAACATGAGATTCCAGAAAAATATCGCGAATAAAACATTGATACAACGCCGGATAGAATTTTCGAGATATGAATTATTTTTGTTCATGATATGAATAAATTTGGATTTTCCCTGATAGTTGCGGTTACCGAGCACTGGCTTGAAGCTAACGAGCCTTTTTTTGTAAACGAGCCTTTTTTTGTAGAAAAATATACTACAATTGCTAGGTATGATCGTCCAAGTTCGGCTCATGGTGGCACCCTAATTTTTTCTACAAATAATGATTTCTCTCCTATAACAAAATATGACTTTCTGTTGAATGAGGCCTTTTTCGAGTTTTCATTGGTTTATAACAAGAATCTTAATCTACACATTATTTGCATTGATAGATCACCTGATTCGTCCACGGAACCTGCTAAATTTGTTAGACGACATGCCCAATAAAAGCCTACCTATCTGAAAGACCGTATATTTATTGAGAAACAAAATTTTATTTAGGACATAATATTTTATTTACGTTAAAAACATATTTAGGTTTTTATCGATTTTTTTTATTTTATTGTATTGTTTTTCATTAGTTCCTTTGAAATTTTGGTAATAAATGTTTTAATTTACATCAAAATTAGAGATTTATTTACTTACCCACGTTCATTTTTAAAGTCGTGTCAAGAAGCATGCCATAATTTACTAATTTCACTGCTCTATAGAAACAGTTAAATGTTCCCTTCACTTCATAAGCTAAATCTTTCGTATTCTTGGGAGAAAAAAGGAATGTGGCAAGGAAATTATTTTGTTAGCTCTAGCTTTCATAATATTGTCATTGCAATAGGCGAGGTAATTTGGATTGCCTCTATGAGCCTTATTCTATGATTTTGGTCAACCTTTACCACATTCATCACTGAAATTGTGCAAACCAATTGTAAACATTTTTCTTTGATGGTGCTTCATTACCAAAAGCATCATGAAACAATTTCATATATTGTTGAGTTAAAGAATTTTTAAAATCATAAAAAATCATTTAACCCATGCTGTCACGGATGATTTTTATTTTTGCATAAACTTGCTTCTTTTAAAATTTCCTTATCAACAATCTACTCTATCAATTTGAATGTCACTTGCTTCAGAATAACAAACGTGCATGTTTACGAATACAGCGACGTCACATCTCAGTAGCGCCATCTATTGGTTTATTGTAAAAGCTCAAAAAGACAGTGTAATTAAAGCATTTGTTAATTTTATAAGTGTAATAAGGGAAACCTATACTTCTTCAAAACAAAATACACTTGAACAAACTTAATTTCGTTGATTTAACTTGTAGATAGCAACAAATGGCGAATTAAATTGTATGTTTTAGTGACGAAGGAAGATCGTGAATTCCTAGATGCCGTGAAGGAATCCCCTCCCAGTGTGCTAGTTGCTGTCATTTGTTTTTTTAGCGTTTGGAGTATTTTGGGCTTGGCCGGATTCCATACGTACCTTACGGCTAGCAACCAAACCACTAATGAAGATGTAAGTATATTTGTTACAGTTGTAGTATTGAATTTAAAACAAATTAAACCTGAACAGTTATAAAATAGAAATTTTTTTACAAAGTGCTATTCCTATTTTTCTTCTGCTACATTTTCTTTGTTACAGTGAATTTCAAAATTATAAGTAAATTTTGTTGATATCTACATTATGTATATTTCAAAATCTTCACTATAGCGATGTTCATAACGATTCTGGAAATCAATAAACATATTTATAGAAAGTGGATGTTGCAAACGCTGAATTTGTAGGATTATGTAGAGTTTCAGGTAGCATTAAATCTGTTACAGAAACTTTTTAAATATTGCACAAGACGAACGGTTGAGGGTGAATGTTTAATTCGATCATTCTGTCAGAAGTGTTTAAGGAGATTTAAAAAATACCTGAAGTCGTTAATAGACAGCTGATGCAGGAGGGCGAACTAATGAATTTATTATTGAAAGAGTCCAGAGAATAGTCTGGTGCTATCAAATATTTGTCAAACCATTAGAGCAGTGGTTCTCAACCTTTTTGTGGCGACGGAACACTTTTAATTACCGAAAAAAATTGCGGAACACCAAAGCAATAACATGCATATATTGATAAACAAATTAGGATTAGCACATAAATTCTGTAATAAACTTTATTATACGTACTCAAATTTGTAAAATTTTACTTAAAATATGAAAACAAAAAACATTTTTAAAATTAACAAAAGCGTAATTCTCAAAATACATCATATGAGTAAATACTTCAAATTAGTGAGACACTTGTGCCTGGTGTCGTTTGCAAATTTGCTCAATATCAGGCCTGATGTGGGAAAGAGCTACTCTCATTTCTTGTTCTAAGTTTAGCAGCCTTTCCCGTTTCTTATTTTTAATGTTTGTTAAAGATGAGAATTCACATAAATAGGACGTTGAAAACTGTATTAAAATACTAATCGCTTTTTTGGCAAGAAGTGGATATTCCTCTTGGACCAAGATCCAAAATTCCTGAACATTCACTTCTGAAAACTTAATTTTCAGAGTACGATCAGATGACAACGAAATAAATTCTTCTTCTTGGTTCAGAGAAAACTGGAAATTGGCTGTATTACTTGTGCTAAAAGGACTTCTTATCCAGTCATATTTTTCTACGTTCAGAGATGGAAAATACCTGGCAATTGTCTCCTCTAATAGTGATAAGTGTTCTGTAACTATATGCGTGATTTCTTGTTCTTTATCTTCATCACCTTCATTCTGAAGCAGTGAAAACATATCCATTTTATTTGTCTCTAAAATGCGCTTCTTCCAAAATGACAATTTTTTCTGGAAAGCTGACAGCTTGTCCGTGGATGTTAAAATATTTTCATTTTTGCCTTGCATACTTGAGTTAACGCCATTTAAATAATTAAAAATATCGGCCAAATATGCCACTTTAGTGCACCATGCATCATTTTCAAAATATGTGGTAAATGTGTCATTACCTTCTTCTTGGAAAAAAGTTAACAGCCCCGTTCTAAGTTCATAAATTCGACATAATACTTTGTCCCTTGACAACCATCTAACTTCGGTGTGCAGCAACAAACATTCATACTTTGATTCCATTGAGATGCAGAGTTGTTTAAAAAGACGGGTTTTTAGTGGTCTTGATTTGATGTAATTCACGACATTAACCACTTGGTCTAATACAGAGTTCAAAGTAGCTGGTAGCGTTTTTGAAATTAGAGATTCTCGATGCAAGAAACAGTGCGTAGATATGATATTTTCATTTCGCTTTTTTGCAAGGGTACAAAAACCTTTTATGGAGCCTACCATGGAAGGGGCACCATCCGTACAAATTCCTACGCAAAAGTCCCATGATATATTTTTTTCTCTAAATATGACGTTATGGAATCAAATACATCCTGACCTGTTGTACGTGCTGTAAGTTCTCTGCAGCATAAAAACTGATTGACTATTTCACCTTCGTCGATAAATCGAATAAATCCTAATAAATGAGCTTTGCCACTAATATAAGTGGATTCGTCCACCTGCAATGCGAAGTTTTTTTTGTAAAGTTTATTTGTAACTTTTTCCTCAATATCTGCAGATAAATCAACAATCCTCCTTCTTATTGTATCATCCGACATAGGAATTTTCCGTATTTCGTTTTGTGCATCGTTGCCAAACATAATTTTGACCAGTTCACAACATGCTGGTAATATAAGAGATTCTGCAATAGTGTGTGGTTTCTGTTTCAAAGCAATTAATTCGGCGACCTTATATGAAGCTATTTGTGCTTTGTCGGAAATTGTTAGCGACCTTACAAATTGTTTCGCTTGTGTCTCCAAAAGTCGCTTGAAATAATCTTTATTTTTTGAAGCTACACTAGCGTGTTTGGTAGTAAAATGGCGTTTTAATTTAGCCGGAGCCATTGCGCTATTAGCGAGTGTCTGCCCACAAACAATACACTTGGGAATTGGACAGTCTTCTTCCCCAGTCCAAATGAAGCCATAATCCAAATATTCATCCAAATATTGCCGGTTCAACATTTTTTTACTGTGCTTCGATTTGTCATCAACCCCACTTCGTAAAGTTCCAGTATCTCCGCTGGTGCTCGCTTCATCATCATTAATTATGAGTTGTTCCACAGTAGTTTTTCTTTTAAGTTTGAGGAACTTATCCATTTTAATTTATTCGAACAAAATAATGCGGATGAATGCTTCACATTTTGTATAAAATATGCAATTACTTACCTTTGATAGATAAGCCGTACGTAAACGTTATCATAAAAAAACTGACACAGCGATTTTCACGTATTACGTTTGTGCAATGTAACAAATTCAACATTCAGTTGCAGACTGTGGCGTGGGTGACTCAGATTGGCTGTGGCCAATGCGGAGCTCAGCGCTTATAAAATCCAACGTGTGCACTGTGCCGACGCGGTGTTGTCACGTTGGGCAAATGAACATTTACGCTGCAGAATTTTATTAAATTAAATTGTACGTAAGTGGCTATTTTAAAATTTGAAAATATTTATTTAAAAAGAGTCATTTAGCAAAATGGTATGTAGATTACTGGACAATCTAAGTAGCATTACAAAAGAATAATTCCCTTCTAATAGTGGAATCGGCGTTAAGTGAACTGTTTACGTTGTTAAAGGAGATAATGTAAAAATGCTCATGTGGAGCGCTTGGAACCCTCTTAACCAGCAAGGATCATAACTCCAAGGGGTGGCTAAAAATACGATAAATGAACCTAGAAAATGGTAAACGAAAGCCAAAAATAGCAACGAATGGAAATACAGGAGCTCTTCAAGGACAACAGAACAGAATCGCAGTTAGGAGAACAAATGGAACAAAATGAGATCTTGAGATTGTTGATGAAAGGGAAAATTGAAGTAAGCAGATGTCCAGGTAGGAAAAAATGTTTTTGGTTGAAAAATATCAAATAGTTAATGGGTCTCGATACTCAGTCTCACTACCTAGTAAAGGCTAAAATAATGCCCGTACGACTAGCTACGAAAAAAGAATACAACGAGGAACAAGAGCAAAAAACAATAGAAACCAAATACAACTTAGGATAGCCTCAACCATGAAAGCACAAAGGTACTGTACAAAAAGCGACTCGATGAAAAGCTCTTAGAAGAAAACTTTGATAGTATTGATCACAATTACATAAAACAATATCTCAAAAGTGCAGCAGAAGAAGCCCTGGGTAAATATGGAAAAACCGAACGAAGGAAGCCATATGGGTTAAAGAAATCGAAGAAAAAATATAGACTAAACGAGATAAATACCACAAACACTTAAATATAATTGATGGATTCGACCGTTACTTACTGGTACTGGTCGTACGACGTACTGGTATGTTTCACAGGAACTAACAGGCAACTCGACCAATTTTTATCGTATATTAATTCACTTCATAGTCATATTGAATTTACAATAGAAACAGAACAAAATCAATCCATAAATTTTTTAGATTTAAAAATTAGCAGACTTCAAAACAAACATGACTTCTCCATATTTCATAAACCTACCCATACTGACACGACTATACACAATTCGTCATCCCATCCAACACAACATAAACTGGCAGCTTATCATAGTATGTTACATAGATTAACAGAAATTCCGATGTCAAAATACAACTTTGAGACAGAATTAAATATAATTAAGCAAATAGCAGTAAACAACGGATACAACGAACAAACAATTAATAAAATGTTAAATCAAAAACTACACAAGAAAGCCCTGAAATTAGTATTTCCACCACCAGAGAAAAAACCCAGTACCTTCTGCTCAATTACATATACAGGCAAAATAACAACAAAAATTGCCAAAGACATAAAAAAGAAAGGAATAACACCAGCTTTCCGAACAAATAACAACCTAGGCAAATATATTAAAAATAACAAGAGCCAAAATAAAAAACACTTAAATAGTGGTGTGTACAAACTTCAACGTGGCGACTGCCCAAAAACTTACATCGGTCAAACTGGTAGAAACTTTGATAAACGAATAGCAGAACATAAAAGGGCTTTCAAGAATAGATAAACAGATTCGACATACGCACTTCACCTTCTAGATCATAATCATTCTTTTAATGGCAAATTTAAAATTCTTCACATTTAAAATAAAGGCCTTAAGCTATCTTTGTTAGAATCTATGGAAATCAACAAATTAAAAACACAGATATAATTCTGAATGACCAACTTGAGACAAACAGTTCTCCCCTCCTCAACCTATTTCATTAGAGACTATAAAGTGTAAACCCAAGCCAAAATAGATCACTTGAGAAAGGCAATCAGCCGAAACAGCTGTAGTGATAATATTTAAAATAAATTTTGTGGAAGTTTGAAAACAAAGTTTTCAGTGTTTTATTGTTACTTAAATATAAATACTGATCAAAGTAAAAACAAATATAGAACAGTCAAAAGAAACGTACGAGGTGCTATAATTAAGAAAAAAAAACGAAAACTGGGAAAGAAACTGCTCCAGAATAAAGACTTACTTGGGGGGTAACAGAAGCACCGAAAGCTGGAAAATACTTTGATCTCCTTGACAAGATAAGACCAAAGACATCATCTCACCGATCAGCCTAGATAAATGGGACGAATACTTCGCAAATCTACTGGCGGAAGAAAGTGCAGAATATTTGCAAACACCTCAAACACAATCAGAGGTGCAAGCACATACAATAGCTTCCCCAATTAGGATTGACGATAAAGAAGTAGCACGAGTATGCCAAGTATTCTTCTCTTCTTCACGTGCCATCTCCGCTACGAAGGTTGGCTATTATCATCAACCACTCCCTGAGGTTTCTCAACCATGACATTCTTCTCCTACCTATGCTGCGCCTACTTTCAATCTTTCCTTGCATAATTAGTTGTAACAGATGATATTTATTCCCAGGTGTAATATGTCCCAGGTATTGTAGTTTCCTCATTTTAACACTCAATACGACCTCCTTTTGTTTGTTCATCCTGTCTAATACAACTTGGTTAGTTATCTTATCCTTCCAGGAGATTTTTAACATTCTTCGGTACGCCCACATCTCAAATGCCTCCAGCTTACCCATACATTGCTTATTTAGTGTCCACGCCTCCACCCCATATAACAGGACCGAGAAAACATAACATTTAAGCATTCGTATTTTCAGCTTTAGGTTTAGGTTTCGGCTACACAACATGTAAGTTGATATTATTGATACGTTTCTTTGTAATTATCATGAATTTGGTCTTCTTTGTATTCAGTGACAGACCAAATTCTTCACTTGCTTCTACCACTTTGTTTAGTAATCTCTGTCGGTCGTCAATATTTTCTGCTATGAGCGCGGTATCATCAGCATATCGGATATTGCAAATGTGGTGACCGTTGATCTTTACTCCGGCTTTTTCGTTCATAAGAGCTTTTTTAATAACTTCTTCCGCGTAGACATTGAACAAGGTTGGAGAAAACACACAGCCCTGCCGAACACCTCTTTTGATCTGTATTCTATCTGATATCGAGCTGTTAATTCGTACTGTAGCTTCTTGTTTGTAGTATAGATTCCTTATCACTCGCAAGTCCCTTGTATCAATATTTTTATTTTCCAGTATTTGCATCAGTGGCTTATGTTTTTTTGTATCAAATGCTTTGTTATAGTCTAGGAAACACACAAATATGTCCTGATTTACGTCTAAACATCGTTGTGTTAGAACATTAAAAGCAAACAGTGCCTCTCTAGTTCCTAGTCCGTCTCTAAAGCCAAATTGAGAGGGTCCGATGTCAACTTCCAATTTTTTATATATTCTCCGATGAATGATTTTTAAGAAGACCTTTAATATATGACACATGAGACTGATGGTGCGATGTTCCGAGCATTGTCTCGCATTAGACTTTTTGGGTATGGCTATTATTGTTGTTACTAGCCATTCATTAGGTATGATACCAGATTTGTAAATGCTGTTAAATAGTTCCACGATCTTTATTAAGTTGTTGCCTTTGATGAGTTTAATTATGTCTATTGGTAGTTCATCTGGGCCTGTAGTCTTCCCCGACCTCATTTCTTTAATCGTGTATTCACCTTCATCTCTTGTTATTTCTGGTCCTGTGTCACTGTTTATGTATTCGTTATCTACATTGTCTCTTTGATCTTTAAACAGTTGTTCTATATACTGTTTCCAGACTCTTAATTTTTCTTCTGTGTCCTTAATAATGTTTCCACTCTCGTCTACTAATATGTTGTGTCTGTTACTTTGTCTCCTCGTCAATCCTCGTTTGATCTTTCGATGTGCATTAAAGCTGTCGTGTTTATTTTGTAGTTGTTCGATTTCTTTGCATTTTTCCCCGTACCAGTTTTCTTTAGCTGTGCGTATTTTTAGACGAATTTCTTTTTGTATCTCTTTATACTTCTGGTTCTTTTTGTTTTTTCTGTTTTCTTCTTTCATCCATTAAGTTCAGTATCTCATCTGTCATCCATTCTTTTTTATGCCAAGTATTAAAGAATAGAAAATCATCAGGTCCTGGCAATAGCCCACCTGAGCTAATCAAGTACCGTACAAGCAAATTATATAAGCAGCTAGCCATACCAAAAATGTATTAACGGAAAGTGTACCGGAGGAGTGGAGGGCATCGTTTATCACAATACATAAGAAGGGAAGTAAAGATGTATGTGACAATTATCGAGGAATCGAAGTCCTTAGTACCATCTCAAGAGTTTATGGGAAACTCATCAAAAAGAGAATCGAAGATGAATTCTGTGATATGGAGGCCGAAGAATAGGCCGGCTTTAGAGCAGATAGATCAACTATTGACCATCAGTTTACTGTTACCCAGCTAATAAAAAAAAGTAGCACGAAATCAACCAATACATCTTCTTTACGTGGACCTTAAAAAAGCTCATGATAGTGTGCCACAACAAAAACTTTGGGAGGCTCTCGAGAAAACAAATATTAGTGTAACCTTAATTAAGGGTGTTCAAGCTTTCTACAAGAACAACACAAATAAAATAAAGAAAGGTCAGGAGGTATCCCAGGGTTTCCATATCAGCAAAGGATTTAAACAAGGATGCTGCATGTCTCCTACTTTGTTTAAGATCTACTCGGAGCAAGGAATGAAGGCGCGGAAAAGAAAATGCAGAAACATGGGAATTCCTCTAAACGTTGCAATATTGTATACGTTGAGTTTTGCAGACGACCAGATAATGATGGCCCAAGACTATGAAGACCTCGATTATATGACCCGTAAACTTGCTCAATCATGCAGAGATAAATTAGGATTTATACCTGAGTTGTTGCGGTCAAAATCAATTGCATTTGGCACAAAATTATCATCAAAAACCCATGAGTCTGTTAATCACTTTTTTGTAAATGTTTTCCTCTTGAAGATGGGTTTGAAGAATTTTTGTACTGATGTATTATTCACTTGAATCATTCATTAGATATTCAGATTCATCTTCGCTTGAGAAATGTTTTTCATTATCCGACGAATAATATTCACTTTCACTATCATCACAGCATTTTCTTAGTTCATCCTTCGTCAAAAAGCGTTTCTTATTCATGATAATGCATCTAAGAAATGCCGAAAAACGAAAAACAATTCTATTACGTCGATAAAACGAATATAAACAAACTGCCGACAAACGAAAAACGATTCAACCACTTCAATACAAAGAATGTAAACTACTGAGTCTCGATCGCGAAGTGCAAAATTTTCCCGGCGCCATATATGAGCAACGCGCAACTGATACTTAGCCCGTTCTAAAAGGGTTAATGAATACTCAAGTCGAAATGACTGACAAATATCTAAAATTACTTTTTTGTGTACTATCTTAAGCGATGTTTTTATGTGTGTATTCTTAACTTGTGAAAAAATGCCTTTTAGTAAATTCTTCTTTTAGATAAAAGGATCTTTTACAAGCAAAAGAGGCCAAGAAAACGTCAACCCTTATTCGGAGGGCAACGTCTGCTTAAATTGTTTTCACATTCTCTGTGGACCGATTACTCCTTCGTTAATCGACAGGTACTCCTTTAGATTTGCTTTTAACCTACATTTTTAATCTTAATCGATCTTGATTATCATTAAATTGTAACATATTTTACTTTGCATGGTGTTACGATTAGAATTGACAAAAACAGTCTAAACGATCAACTTTATTCTAGAAGAGGTGTTGTCACAGAAAGCTACCAGTACGAAAACAGTAGACCTGTTACCAATGCACCAACTTTGCCTTTGAAGAAATATGGATTACCGTTGCAGGTAAGTTTTATATATTGATTAAATATTGTAATGGGTGTTCAATCACAAATTAACCCCTTAATTTGTAATCTCACATTATTCTTAACTTCTTAATCTTTTATAGTTTCACCGTGTATGAGTGAGATATTGTTAAACCGTATCGTATAATATTTTAATAAGTAGTTCATTTACCTACAACTAAATAAATTGCCGAATAATATATTTTCTAATTTAACTTCCTAAGTGCTTGTGTTCTCAAAGTATTAGAAAGGATACTAAAAGTAAGACTCGAATGGTGGATATGTGAGAAAAAACTACTTCCAAATTCTCAGTTCGGTTATAGACAAGGATGTGGTATTTTGGATGCACTCGCTACCGTAGTAACTCACATTCAAAATGCATATTCTCGCAATACGAATACCTTCCCTGCTACCCAAAATATTGTCAATTTCTACTTAAACAGGAAAATATATATTAGGAAGGAAAACAATCAACTCATTGGACCACGTTTTAATAGTTCGGGTCTTCCACAGGGCTCAGTTTTAAGTCCACTTCTATTTAATCTTTACACAGCCAATTTTCATAATATTAGTATTGAAAAAAATTCATTTAATACGATACAATATGCAGGTGACTTCTGTATCTATACGGAATCTAAAAGTTACAATAACGGCTTAAACACATTGGAAAGTGTTCATGAACGTTGCTCTAGGTGGTTTAAAAAAAAAATGGTTTTGAGTTGGCAAACAACAAGTCTAACATTTGTATATTCACTAGACATAACTTGCCTCAAGGAGAACAAATAAAATTAAATGATAATTATTTTCCCCTCTGTAAGTCAATAAAATATTTGGGTATGATTTTGGATACAAAACTGACCTGGAAACTGCATGTTCATTTTATGCTTGATAGATGTAATAAAGCACTAAACTTTCTAAAATCAATTTCAAAAACTTGGTGGGGTGCAGATATTGAAACGTGTCTTCTATTTTATCGTTCTTATATCAGGTCCATTATAGATTATGGCTCTGTACTTTACGGCTCCGCTAGTAACAATATTTTAGGTCGTATAGATGTTTTTATAAACACAGTTTTGCGGTGTTGCATTGGTGCTATGAGATCTACCCCTATTGAACCACTTTATGTTGAGACAATGGAACCGCCCAGTAAATTTAGAAGAGAATATCTCAGTCAAAAATTTCTTCTTAAAGTTTGTTGCTAAACACTTGTTTATATAAAGATATTAGTATTTTAAATTAGTCCAATAAATATTGGACTCACATGAATTCTCCACCGCTATGCGAAGCATTTCGAAATACTGCAAATAAAGATACCTACTGAACTTATAGTTGCAAATAAAGTAGTACATTTTAAAGATTTCATTGAGTTACTGGATCAAGTACATATAATACAACCTATTTATCATGAGAACCGTTTAATAAGTCGTATTGTTTTAAACAACTATCTGACAAACGGGCCAAAATCTGTTTGTATTTATACAGACGCATCTAAAAGTTCAAAGGGTACTGGTTGTGCCTTTTATATTCCAGATAAATTTATAGGAAAAATGTTTAAGCTGCCCACAAATTTCTCTATTTTTAGTGCTGAGGCTGTGGCCATATATGAGGCTTTAAATTATTTTAAATTGGCATCGAATAGTTCAGCAGTAATTTTATCTGATTCATTAGCTGTACTTACAGATATTCAAAAACCGCAACTACCCTGTAGTACTTCTAATCCATACATTTTTTTAATTAAAAATTGCTTATTTGAAATTAATAAATACACCCAAAAAATACAATTGATGTGGATCAAAGCACATTCAGGACTTACATATAATGAACACGTGGACCAGTTAGCAAAATATTCCATCGTTTATGGAACACTTACCAACTATCAACCTTGTATTATAGATGCTTTTGCTTGTTCAAGAACTAAACAAATGAACAACTGGAGAGAACACTGGGAAAAGTACTGTAGTATTTCAACAACACAATACAGTTTGACATAACTACCATCAGTAGACTTAGATTTGGCCATGCATGTTATCCTGTACATTTATTTAAAATAAATGATATTTGTCAAGAATGTCAGATTAAAAATGACTTAAACCACATATTTTTTGAATGTCAAAGGTATAAACAACCCACCAACAACCTAATTAAAAGAATGATAGACAAGAACATCCCTCTTCCTATTAATATTCTCTTTCTACTATCACTCAATGAGAAGAAAATGTATAACTGCTTGATAACCTTTTTGTCTGATAGTAAAGTATGCCTGTAATTAGTAAGATTTGTAACCTATGTTTAGAAAAATTCATGAAAAAAAAAATAAAACAAAAATTATTAAAAAAAAAAAGATTTAAAAAGAAAAAAAAAATAAATTAAAAAAAAAAAGAAAAAAGATGATTATAAAAATACATTAAAAAAAAAAGAACAAAATAAGAAAAAAAAAAAATAAAAATATACTAAAACAATCACTAAGAGGATCTAAACCTCCGAGATGTTGAATCGGGTTTATGTCCTAACGTAGTGGAAAAAAAATGTATTACCATAGTTATAGTTATTAACATAGTAGGTAGATATCTTTATTTTTATTTTTTTTTATCTGTAAGATGTATACACTATGAATTTCTGTTCGCGTCTCTCAATAACAAAATTATAATAAAGGTATGATATAGCATTTATTAACATAGTACTTATGTACATTAGCTTAGCTGTTATTATTATTATATTAATCATGTTTCACTAATTGACATATTTAAATTCTTTAACAAAACTTATGTTGATGGAGACTGGCTGAATGACAATTGTCCAAGCCAAGGAAAAGAAAAAAAAAACTTCCTAAGTGTCGCAATTAAGGCCTAGATTAAATTGTAATGTAAGCAAATAGTTCAAAGTTTGTTGGTATGGTATGATAGAAAGCAATAACCTCTGTGCTGAGGTATGAATTATTTATGAGATTATAAATTGGGGATTTGAGCTCATTTGAGCACAGTTTATCATAAGTAGTTACCTAACGAACATCATATTGTGTAATTACTAGTAGCTGTCAATAAAACCATCACTTTAACTCCACAACTTCAACTTTTTATTATATTTATCATCGTCGATCGACTGTTTTAGTTACTGTTAAGTTAAGTCACTGTTTTGTCAACGTTTATTTATGAATTTATTTTTCAGAATGGTCCCCAACAAGTGACACCAGACGCGGCGGAAATGCCAGGCATCTACCGCCAAACCACCGAGAATACGGGTATGTACAGTCCATTGAAAAAGCACCTCTATCGTGCCCAACAAATAATTCCGTCCAAAAATTGTGCCAATCAAAAAATACTACCCTCGCAAGCATCCCACTTTATACATTACGAAAGTAACAACCGCCAAGAGCAGGTCGAGTCATTCAAAAACAGTTATTCCTTACCTCATCTCAAGAACATCGTAGGGCCCGATTATACTTATTCGTCCAATAATAATTTTATGAAATACGGTATGGTGGTTCATCACGGACCGATGGTGGGTAGAGACTGTCATTACACCCCTCCCGATAGAGGCTACAACGTGAATTTCGCGAGAAGGGTCGAGAAGACTGGTCGAAGACCTAGGCCTAAGAGTAGCTGTGTTTATGAGAGCGTACATGCGGCTGATGAGTTTTGCGTGGTTAGAATGAGCAGCGAGCGAAGTCTGACTCATAATTTAAGAGTAGAAAACTTCCCCATGCCAGAGTTTAATCAAATGTATATACAGGATAGATATAACTAGCGATTGTAGCCTTGGTGTTGTGATTGAAGCTAAAATATGTTCCATTGACAAACAGAACTTTAAAACAAAGCACAAAGGGATTGTTTTAAGTGTTGTACTGTGCACCTTCGATCATTTTTCTATGAATAATTCTTACAATAATTTTTTTATGAATACTTTACAAATTTTAACATTATTAAAGAGTTTCGTTAGCCCTAGATATTACCTTTCTTCTTCTTCACGTGCCATCTCCGCAACGCAGTTTGGCAATCATCATGGCTATTCTGATCTTCTTTTTCACACTTACCTTGCTCTGGATTTTCTTGTATAATTAATTGAAGTATGCAAAGGTATTGCAAGTTTCGTGGCTTGGTGTTTTCCAATATTTCCATTCTTTTGTTGACTCTTCTCATGACTTCGTTGTTTGTTACATGCTCGGTCCATGATATCTTCAGGATTCTTCTATACACCCACAGTTCAAATGCTTCCAACTTTTTAGTAGTCGATGCGTTAAGTGTCCATGCTTCTATCCCGTAAAGCAGGGTCGTGAAAATATAACACCTTGCCAGCCTAACTCTCAAGTCTAATTTCAATTCTCTTGTACAATGTACCTTTCTCATTTTATTGAAATTTGTTCGTGCTTTCTCTATTCGAACGTTGATTTCTTTGGAGTAATCGTTTGTGTGATTAATTATTGTGTCAAGATAATTGTAGTTTTCAACTTGTTCTAAACTTTTACCGTTCATTGTCAGGCTTTCATCATTATTTTGGGTTTTTGATATCTTCATGAATTTAGTTTTCTTGATGCTTATTGATAATCCATATTCTTCTCCATACACAATTATCTTGTTCATTAGCTTTTGAGGGTTTTGGATGTTCTCTGCTATTATGATAGTATCGTCCGCATATCTAATATTGTTAATTGGTGTTTCATTCACCTTTATTCCTGCTGTTTCTCCCTCAAGAGCTCTTTTTATAAATTCTTTAGAGTATGCATTGAATAGTAGTAGTGACAATGCACACCCCTGTCGCACTCCTCTTTTAACTTCGAACTCGTCTTATGTGTGTTAGGCATCAGGCTTATGGTGCGGTGGTTGGTGCGTTTTCTAGCATTTTTCTTTTTTGGAAGACAAAGAAATGTTGAGATCAACCATTCATTGGGTATGTCACCCGACTGATAAATTTCATTAAAGAGCTTTAAGGGGACATCTATGTACTCGTTTTTTATTATTTTAAGGATATCAAGGGGCAGTTGATGGGGCTTTTTCCGTTTCTGGTGATCTTTAGTGCACACAATATTTCTTCCTTTGTAATTTCTATACTTGTTTCTCTGTCCTCGAAAGATATGTCTTGTAGGTTTCCTCTTTCGTGGTCGAAGAGCTCTTCCATATATTCTTTCCATTGTTTTAGCTTTTCGTCAGTCGTTATCATAGTATTTCCATTTTTATCTAAAATAGTTGTGTTGTGGTTTCTTTTTTGCAGCCCTGCCATTTATTTAACCTTTTTATGTAGGTTGAATAGGTCGTATTTGTTCTGAAGATCTTCTATCTCTGTACATTTTTCCTCATAGTAAATTTGTTTTGCCTCTCTTATCATTTTTCTGATTTTATTGTTACTGATTTAGTAATTGTGACTGTCGATTTGCTTCGAAGCTATTATTATTATTAAAGTGCTCCAATCATCAGATGTGCGATATATATGCCACAAGCATCGGTACTTTCATCCACAACTATCTAGAAGTTTTTCTCGCCAATTGAAGATTTTATTTCCTGAATAACTGTTTCATAGACTGGATGAACATTTTTCTTTCTGATGGTAGACTCATCAAGAATGGTTTGGTTGCAATACCTTTGTAAAAAACTTCTAAATTGGGGATGCTGAAGTTTTCTTAGTGGATGTTAGCTGCCATCATAGTTTTACACAAGTCTTCTTGAAAAAGTTCCTTATCCGACTTAGATTTTGCACCCACATTTTGAAATGCGTTTTTAACATTCTATTGAACAGGTGCAAATTTCATTTTTGCAGCCTTCCCGATATGCAGCACTGTTTTTAAATGCTGATTCACTTTAAACTTTTTCTGACAAACAATTATTTTTGAAAAGGTTTTGCAAAAAACTTTTTCTCCACTAAATTCTAACTTTTACTATCTCCATTTTTAAAACCAATCAAAACTCGCTATATATATATGTCAACACACCAAAGATTTTCGATAAACTGAAAATATAGGTTATTCCACGAATATACGACTGTCTTGGATTATTACGACAACGAATATTTTACTGTGCAAGTAGAAGTATGAAAGTAAATTGGTCTAAACAGTATTCCAATAAAATGGATTTACTGTTAGTTTGACACTTACACTAAAATTAATTCAGTTAATATATGTTCAGATAGACGCAAACTTTATTGTGAAATTTAATCCAAAAATAACAAAAATTTTTACGCGAACGGTCCTACAAATAAATACAATGAGTTCTATGAAGCCAAAATTCAAAAACCAACTTGTTTACAATACTAAAATCAATGATAGTAATTATATACTTCAAAATCTGAATTATAACTATTCTATAAACTATCAACTCTATATTTATATCATGACTTCATATTTAAATTTTAAGTCATAACAGTATTTTAAAAATAGGGAGAATTTACTATTGGACAATTCAGCACATTGGACCATTCAAATAAAGACCTTAAACCTAATTTAAAACAGTCGTATATTCGTGGAATGGAGTATATACTTTCGGAACTTTAGGTGTACATCCACTCAAATCAAACAAATATTTAAAACTAAAAAAGTGAAATTTGGTGATGGTTTCCAAACCATCGTTCTGCCAATTTCCTTACATTTATATTAAAAGTATATTTCTTTTTATTACACTTGTAGTAGGTACCTAATAAAGTAATAAAAAGTGTAATATCAAAGAAACCCGGCACGCTTCTTTGGTGTTTACATTTCACAGAAACCCAACCCAAATGTCTTATGAACACATTTTGGCTTCATAGAACTCATTGTATTTATTTGTAGGACCGTTCGCGTAAAAAATTTTTGTTATTTTCGGATTAAATTTCACAATAAATTTTGCGTCTATCTGAACATATATTAACTGAAATAATTTTAGTGTAAGTGTCAAACTAACAGTAAATCCATTTTATTGGAATACTGTTTAGACCAATTTACTTTCATACTTCTACTTGCACAGTAAAATATTCGTTGTCGTAATAATCCAAGACAGTCGTATATTCGTGGAATAACCTATACTAACCTGAGACTAGTTATGCCTACCCAATATTAATTGTGCAAACCAACGACCGTATTATAAGATCATAAAAACCTCCTTAAAATGGTATGGGATTGTTCATTTTATAACAATAGTAGACTTATTCACAAATACAGTGTCTCATTCATTATTATAAAAGTCATTTAGATAACAGTAATAAAAATAAATAGTCCCTTGTAAATACTCTATTGTTGTCTTCGGGTTAAAAAAATTACCTGAATACCATCATTCAACTTGGAAATCCCTTAAATTCTTCGACCTTATCAGAGGCGACTGTTAAATATAATTTTATGGTGAAAAGATGACCATAATATGCAGGTAAATTAAAATATTCTGACAAAACTGACAAAATATTCACGTATATGCAATTTGCATACAATCCGCGCTCTAATTATGATATATATAAAAAAATGACAATTGCTGAAACCAGAAATTGATAATAATCAGAAGAACTGTTAAAAATAGAGATAAGAACTAATTATTTGAACAGTTCCAAAACCCTAACTTTTGAATTAGCGTCCCAACGTTGATAAGGACTGCTAGTAAAATACTCAGTACTAAGATTGATCTGTTTGTTAATGGAACATTGTGAAATATTAGCTCTTTTGTATGGGCTAATTTATACCCAGTGTAAGGTCTATGTTAGTCTATTAAAAATTGAATTATTCATTTAGTAACTGTACAGAGTAACTTCGCATGCAATATGATGAAACGTTTTGTGATCTCGGGTGCTTTAAATTTTTCGTGTTCTACCGAATGTACTCACATGAAATTTCAATGTACTTAATGGATAGTCTGTCCAATACTAATTGTATCTAGAGCAGTAGTTGTTCTACCTACAATTATTAATGGAACAAATTATACAGGGTGTACCAAACAGGAAGCGAACAATGTATTCTAGATAAACAAATGACTGTATTAGATTTTTCTGTGGGAATATCTTGGTAGACCTTTTTAACTCTATATACAAGATAGGACACATACCCAAAGAATGGCTTCTCTTTTGTAACTTTTGTAACGATCCCAAAAATCACAAATGCTAAAGATTGCACTGACTATCGGACACATTGAAAACTTTCCATAAAATCATACATAACAGAATCCGCATGAAATTAGAACAAGAAATAAGTGATTCACAGATGGGTTTTACACAGGATCTAGGAACTAGAGAAGCATTATTCGGAGTCAACTTTCTGACACAACGATGTCTGGATATAAATATGCTTGCTTCGTA